CTAAAACACAATCCGTTTTCTCTGGCAGAGGGTTGCAGGAGACCATTGCAGCTGAAAATGGGTCCAGTGAAAACTTTTCATTTTTGCTGGCAGAGGGCTATCAAAGCAAACTAAAAACAAAAGGAGAAATGTTTCCCCTTTTGCATTTGGGCATGCAAGAAGGAACAATAAAGAGAAAGAGGAAAGAAAAAGAAGGAAAGATGAGAAGAGAGGAAGGAAGCAGAGGTGGTATCAGGTTCCAACCAGTTCTGGAGAACTGGTAGCAGAAATTTTGAGTAGTTTGGAGAACCGGCAAATACCACCTCTGACTGGAGATTTTACAGTATCCTTCCCCTGCCATGCCTACCAAGCCACACCAACAGAACCAGTACTAAAAAAATTTGAATCCCACCACTGGAAGGAATGAAAAATAAGAAGAGGGAAAGGAAGAAGAAAGGGGAATGAAGAAGGTAAGAAAAAGAAGAAAAGGAAGGAAGATTGTAATGAAAGTGAGGGGAGGTCTGAGGGAAGTGCTGCCTTCGCACTTGGCCACCACAGGTGCCCCCGACACAAGTAATGTCAAGCTGGCCATGCTCACATACCCACACCCACCCTGGCCCTCTGAGGTCAAATACAACCCTGATGCGGATCTCAATGAAATCGAGTTTGGCACCCCTGATTTATGCAATCTGGCAAATTTTCTGTCCTATTCTAAAAAAAAAAAAACTTTAATAAGACTAATTGTTCTTAAATGTATCTATTTACTATTTTCTATCTGGCTTCCAATATTGCCAGGAGTTTTGGAAGAGAAAAATTAGCTGGATTATGTTGTGGTTAGTACCTGTCCCACCAAAAGTACACAGAACTGAATGTCCTAATTTTGCTTATTTCTTCTAGGTTTAATCTTATTCTCAACTATTAAACATTATACTTAAATCTTCTGACTAATAAATAAGTCTTAAATGGATACTACTAATTTATCCTATTGATTTTATTTTTTGATCTGTATAGGACAATTATAGCTATATTCAGGTATTTGCTTGAAGACATGAAGTATTAACGCTATATAGTGTCTTTCAATATTGCATACGGCATTGCCTTTTATCTTCACATTTATAATAGTCGACCATCTTTCCAGCCTTATTCCACTGGGCAGCAAGTTCTGAAAAAACATTGGAACTTGAGCAGAAATCTTATTTTTATTAAATTAACAGAAATTTGCATGCAACAATTATAACAAATGCAATTGTTCTCCCAAAGAATTGTATAAAATTTATATAATTTTTTTGGCTTAGATTTTTACTATGATATTTTTATGGATACTTAAGTTATTAATGCTATTAGAATTTAGCCAAATTATATTAGAACTTCTGTGAAAAACACAGAAGTTATTGGGGTTTTTTTTTGTTAGATAAAATACTAGATTATTGAAGATATTATATTTTAATGATTCCAATTAATCATTTCCTAATGATTAATGATTCTCTAATGTCATCTTGCCTGAAACTACTGTATATATGAACTCATAATATAATTATCAATAGAGTTTTCTAAAAGTCCTGATATATTTCCCTATTTAATATATAATAGTGTGTGCACAGCATTAAGTTGACCCATACATCAACTTTGTAGAACCATTACTGCACAATTTGAAGTACTTACTAGAAATCCCACTAGATTCAATGAGATTCCCTTGTCCTATTAATTTTATTGAATCCTGAAATTTTATTTTCTACTTCATGGTTTAACCATATACAGGAGGTGTAAAGATCCTTTTGACTGAGGACATCCAATTTTTACCACACAAACAAGGAGGAAGGCTTAAACGGGAAAGGAAGAAAACAAAGTTGGTCACGACCAAAGTAAAGTCTCTTCAAAATAAAGAAAAGTAATCTCCAGATTTAGCAGAACCTTCAAGTTTACATTAAAATAAAAACCAGCAAGCAGCTTTCCAGAACCTGGCATGAATAAAATGTGCTGGCAAATGTTAGTGGGAACTACACCAAATCTCAGCAGTACAAATAAGTAGCAGGGTTCCTTTTAAAAAACTCAAGTGGCATCCCTAATAAAAATGACTTCTTAAAATGGCTGTTATCTAATTATCTCCCGTATATTTGCAGATTCAAGCAAATATCACAATTGTACAACTTGCTAGTCCTATGTTGACTACCATTCAGTTGAGATCATTTATTAGATCTCCATTTGGCATAAGAGATCAAAGTTAGCTTACAATTCTGTCAGGAAGTAAACCAAACATAGAACACACTGTTATTCTAGAGCAGGGCTGTCAAACTTGATTTCATTGAGGGTTGCATCAGGATTGTGTTTGACCTCAGGGGGCCAGCATGGGCATGTTCAGACTGGGCATGGCCAGCTCAATATCACTTGTGTCAGGGCGCCTATGGTGGCCCACAGTGTTTCTGCCAATGAAAACGGAACTCGGGAAGGCCGCAGGCTCCATTTTCACTGGCAGAATGTTGCAGGAGCCCTTGGCAGCCAAAAATAGAGCTCAGGAGCCCCTTTTCACTGGCAGAAGTACTGCAGAAGTTTCCAAGGAAGCTCCGTGGGCCAGATCTAAGTAGCTCATGGGCTGGATCCAGCACCTAGGCCTTGAGTTTGACACCCGTCCTAGAGAAATCTTGTGCGGAAAGTTAAAGGAACCAAAGCAGTGGTGGGATTCAATTTTTTTTACTACCGGTTCTGTGGGCGTGGCTTGGTGGGCGTGTGGGGAAGAATACTATAAAATCTCCAGTCAGAGGTGGTATTTGCCGGTTCTCTGAACTACTCAAAATTTCTGCTACTGGTTCTTCTGAACTGGTCAGAAATTGCTGAATACCATCTCTGAACCAGAGATATCTGTGAGACAAAAAAAAAGTGGCTGTGCTGTATACAGATAGACCTTAGCAACCACTTGTTCTGCTACTGTTTGGTTACAATGGTGCTGAACAAGGAAATATACAAGCAGTCTTCGAATTTGCAGCTGTCCTCATGGTCAGAGTATACCAGTGTCACATGGTGATGTAATTGCCATTTGTGATCTTCATTACAGTGTAATGAATTTGCAGATAACCTTGGGGAATGAGGGAAAAAGGTTCCTTGAAAAAAAATCAGACAAGAGAGGGAGGAAGTCTCAAGGACTTAATGATCAAAGGAAGATACTTAAGGACCTGCTTGTGTTGATCAGATGGTTAAAAGTGGCAGCGATAGGACTTTTGTATCTTCGGATTTGCAAGATGTTGTTAATATACCCTTATAATAAAACAGTTTTAGATAATCTAGTTATTTTATCTGATTTACCCAGAAACCTGATAGGCAGCTTCTGCCAAGCAATGGGTAAAATGGCAAAATGTTGTACTTGTGGTATGACATCACATTTAACGATCTCAGCCCAAACTGATGGAATTAAAAGTCAGCCCAATCACTATTTTTCATTTTACAGTCACATGGCGACAGAGTTGCCAGTCCCAACCACATTAACCGACTGCTTGTATCTGTTTTACAATCTAAAGAATTAGGCTTACACATTTTTAGTCCCTTCTCGTCCTTATTCATCTTTGCTCGAAATGTGGGTGCTTTGAAATGTACTTTAAAAATAGTTGATGAAACTATTTCCTCAGCAAAAAAAATTTTTTATTGTGAATTAAGGCACATTGAGATAAATTAGATATAATTTTGATTCCACAAAAACTAGAAAATTTAATATATTTCAAGAGACATCACTGAATGTAATAAAATTTGCACTTCTTATATAAAATATATGTAGTCCTTGATTTAAGCCAATTGAGCCCACTGTTGCCAAGTGAGTGTTTAATGAGTTTTGCCCCATTTTGCCACCTTTCTTGCCAGGGTTTATGGGAATAACTGAATAACAGTAACATGGTTGTAAATGAATCTTGCTTCCCCATTGACTTTGCTTGTCAGAAGATTGCATAAGGTGATCACATGATCCCGGGACACTGCAAACATCATATATATGAGCCAGTTGCCTAACATCTCAATTTTGATTATGTGACCAAGAGGATGATGCAACGGTCATGTGAAAAATGGGTAAAGGTCACTATTTTCAGTGCCATTGCAATTTTGGTCACTGAACACTAACCTGTATGTTACCAGAAGCTATGGGGGAAAGTACTATATTGAGTAAAACATTGGTATTATAGTTAATTAAATCAAGATTTAGTATATTCTAAAATTAAAGACTTGCATAAAATAGGACATACTGAGGAAATTAATTTCTATGTTGTTTTTTATTTAGATAAACCAAGGAGAGCATTTTAAGAAAATTGGTTTCAAAAAAATACAGCTCTTGTATCTATGAGTTTCTAATGTAGAATTGATGCACTTTGGTACGTTTATTTCTATTTGATCTGTAGCTAGTTAGATGATTTCTGGATCATATTTTATTTTAGTTAATGCTGCCATGGGAAAAATATTTTTAAGCAGACAGGGACATGTTTTCATAGTAAAGTAAAATTATTCTATACAATATCTCATTTTAAACATTCTTCTATGAAGCCTTTCCAGAGCACATCTACATTTTAAAAATAAACCATGTTTCTTACTTAAGGACTGGCATAAGGAGATATTTACTCCCAGTAATTTTTAAAAACTGCAATATTTTAAATGTAGGAGGTATGAATTGTTTTCGACCTGGGAAGTTTTGTTTGTGCTGTTTGAACTTGCATTCCAATTTATGGGGAGGGGTACCAAGTTGGAGAAACTTGCTACCCACATGGCTTTTTTCCACTTTAACTTGAAATCTGCTAGGCTTTGTCACCCATTATCTTGGAGGGAGATCAGATGATCTGCAATTCTTGCAGAGATTATGGAGGCCCCAACTGAAGTAGAGCCAGCTTTCAGAGGGAACAGCCCATGTTATGCAGATATTGTGTTTTACCACTCGCGGGGGGTGGACGGCAAAGATCCCCCTGCAAACTATTTCCGCCGCGCCTATATTTCTGGGGCTTCGTTTTACCAAGAGGCAAATTCGCCTCCGAAGGCCACTTAAGGACTATCCCGAAAGTAGGCAGCCGTGTGTCAAGGCCGGAGATCCTCCTGCGGCTCTGAGGGAGAACTCCGCTACCCGCTTTTATCCCCCCCCCCCCTCCCCGGTCGCTTAGGCTGCTTGCTTTCCTCCTTCTGGTTTCCGATCGTGGCGAGTCTCCGGCTCCCTTCCGCTACCCAAGCCACACTGAGGCCTCCTCTGTGGGCTGGACCCGCGGGAGAGGAAAGGACTGGCGGCTTAACCGGGTCGCTGCTGACCAGGAGTCCGGGACAGAGTGCCGCCGCAGCCAGGAAGACAGGCAGAGATCGGCGGTGGGAGGAGAAAACACGAAACGTAACCAGGCCCTCTGGCTCCTCGAAGAACGCCGCTGCTGACGACAGCGGCGAGGCGAGCTTTGCAGAGGGAAGGGAGGTTTCGCTTCCAGCCGTGGCAGCCGCCTAGGTCCCTTTGCTCCTGACGAGAAGGGGAGGGGAAAACCAATCGGTCCGCCGGTCTGCAGCCGCCTCCGCACCTGTTTCGGAGACCCCGCCCTGCGGCTGCCCAGAGGCACCCGCCCGCTCGGAGGAGGAGGGGGGGGGCGACCACGATAACAACGGGGGAGTGGGTGCTGCCGGCGCCGAGCACCTGGCTCTGCCGCCGCCACCCCCACAACCCACGCTCCCTCGTCTCTCGCCTTCCTTAGTCGGCCGCCCCTCAGGGGACTCTGTGTGGCGGGAAGAGCGGGGGCTCTGCGTGTCGAGTAGGAACCACACGCAAGGGCCGGGTCAAGTAGCGGGTGGAGCCGGGGCTCGCTTCGGCGAAAAAGCCCCCTTCAAAGCCGTCGCTGTCTGGCACGGTGCCCGGAGCTTTCTTTCCCTTTGCCTTCCCGTTTATAGCCAGGAGTGAAAACTCAAAACTCTGTGCCGAAAACCCCGGTTGGCCGAAGAGGAGCTGTGGCGTGGGCGGCAGGATGAATCCCAATGTCACCTACGCCAGCCGCAAGCGGCGGAAACCCGTGCAGAAGATGTAAGGGGAATGTTTTGTCTGGGCGCTGAAGGAAGGAAGTCTTGGGGAGGGGGAGGGGGACGGGCGCAATGTTTGGCGTGTCTTCGCCGCGCATCTGGGCTCCGGCCTCACCCCTCCTTTACGAAGTGACACCTCTGACCCACTGCGGTGTCCATTGAAACGTGTGGTCTCTCTCTCTCTTTCTTGGCGTCTTTGGCGGTTCTTTCTTGACTTGCAGCTTTGTGTTTTACTTTATTTCTCTGCCCCTTTTACATGCTTTTAAGGGGATCAGGAGAATTCAGGGTTGGAGGCCTCCCCATCTTTAAAAAGCAACAGAAACCTGGGCCGTGCTTTCTAAAAGCAAGCGACCCTAACCAGCCTCGAAGGGTTTTCGGTGGCCTGAATAAGAGCTTTGCGCAATCTCTGCTCATCTCCTCCTTCCCCCTCCCTCCCCTTCGCAGTCGCTTCTAGTAACTCCTGAGATGTTTGTAAATAATTAGTGAGAGACTGTTTTCGGGCTATATAAAAAGTTTGCTTTTAAGTCAGTGGAACATCGATGATTTTTTTTAAAGAAAAGAATATTGAGGCCCGAGTATTGTTATTTAGATCCATAGGTAAAAGCTAGCATTTTAAACATGCCCAGAGACTTTCTTAAAAATACATGGACTTAGAATACTCTGGTGTTGTATACAGGTTGCTGGACTGAGGATAACAGTTCAAGCCTCAATTCAATGCCCTGATTTTATGTGGCTCTGTTAAAGCCGGTGGCTGATTAAAGTCAGAAAAAGCCTGTCAAGTGGGAAAGGATGAAGTCATATGCTTTTAAATCACTAGGCTGGGTTTCCTAATCAAGAATTTGATATATTTTAAATAATTACTGAAATTATAAATAATTACTGAAAGTCTATGGCTTTTTGCTAAAGTTAGCTCTGGGTCCTGATTTGTAATCTGATTGCAGTAATGCAGAGTGCATTTGGGCCACAGTTTGGTATACATGTGCAGTAATCCAGTTTGTGCAGGCTATAATCTGTACTGCTACTGGGTTTCTCTCTCTGGTCTAAGGAGTAATATTCACTCTACATCAGAATATTTGAAGTTTTCATTTATGTACTTTTTATTTTATTGTTCTACTTTTAAAGTATTGAAAAGCAAATACAAGTACAGGGAGTCCTTGATTTACGATCACAACTGAGCCCAGAATTTATGTTCTAAGTGAGAAATTGTTTTGAGTTTTGTCTCATTTTTATGACTTTTCTTGCCACATTTGTAAAGTGAACCATTGTTGTTGTTAAATTAGTAATAGGGTTATTAAGTGAATATGGCTTCCCCATTGACTTTGTTTTACAGATTGCAAAAGATGGTCACATTATCCCGGGACACTGCAACCGTCATAAATATGAAACAGTTGTCAAACATCCAAATGTAAATCACGTGACCATGGGGATGCTGCAATGGTCATAAGTGAAAAATGACATAAGTCACTTTTTTCAGTACTGTTATAACTTTGAACAATCACCAAATGAACTGTTGTAAGTTGAAGACCACCGATGGACATTTTATATTTGCAAATGGTCAGCTATTGAAATCAGAATGAAAGAAGGGTAATACCTTGGCTTATAACAGTTATAACAGGCCTTGGCTTATAACAGTTCACTTGGTGAGTTTCACCAACTATTCTACTAGCAAATATGGATGACCTAAAGCTCTTTGGGACTTTAAACCTTTTGAAAAGATCTGGATATTTTTTGTCCTCAGATTCAAAGAGATCTACACAGCCCTACATTCATAGTCAAACAATAGCTAGTTCTGTTTCTTTGATCTAATAATATAGATGGTCCTCAAATTACAATAGTTTGTTTAGTAACTGTTCAAAGTTACAATGGCACTGAAAAAAGACTAACTTTTTACTCAAATGTTGCAGCATCCCCATGGTCCCATGATCAGAATCCAGCCTTTTGGCAACTGATTCATTTATGATGGTTGCAAGATCCCTGAGGTCATAGGATCACCTTTTGCAACTTTCTGACAAGTAAGGTCAATGAGGAGTCCAAATTTGTTTAACCACTGTGTTAACTAACTTAACTACAGTCATTCACTTAAATCTATTTTAAAAATTGGCTATTTTAACGTCTGCAAAACTTTTATTGGGGGAGGGTTTCTCAAATCCTAGCAACAGCTTGGATAAGTTCATGCAGTTTTCTTGACAGGATTTCAGAAGTGGTTATTACCTGCGTCTAGGACTGAAAAAGAGTTACTAGCCCAACGTCACCTAGGCAAAATTAGAACTCAGTTTCCTAATTTCTTTTTATGTACATTTGAGAGCATATGCACCAAAACTAATTCCTTTTGTGTCTAATCACACATGGCCAATAAAGAATTCATTCATTCATTCACTCATTCATTCATTCAGATAGTCATCAACTTACAACAATTGGTTTAGTGATCATTCAAAGTTACAGCGGCATTGTAATGACCATTTTTCAAAGTTATAACCTTTGCAGCATCCCTATGATCGATTATGTGATCGAATTTGGATGCTTGGGAACTGGTTCATATTTGTGACTATTGCTGTGTTCTGGGTCATATGATCACCTTTTCTGATCTTCTGATAAGCAAAGTCAGTTGGGAAACCAGATTCACTTAACCAGATTACTAACTTATCAACTGCAGTGATTCACTTAACAATTGTGGCAAGAAAGGTCACAAAATGGAGCAAAACTCACTTAACAAGTATCTCACTTAACATAAATTTTAGGTTCAATTGTGGTCATAAGTCAAGGACTGGCTGTACTAGTCTGACGCATTAATCACTACATTATACTGGATCTCTATGCAATATTTGTATCAGGTTTTAAGAAAGCTCTTTATTTTATGAAATCATAGTTAATCTAGGTATAAATATCAGAAAGTGTATTGAAAAATTACTTAAGACGTAATTAGCTAAATAACATGAATTTCTATATAATTATATATAAAAAGATTGTGGCATTGGGAATTTTTAAAAAATGTTAATGAAAGTATAGATTCTTAAAAAAATACTTCACTAAAATTAGTAAAATTAACTTCATTGTTACTTGATTTGGATTTTAGTCAAGTGCTATGATTATTTTCATTTACTTTAAAATAAGCATAGCACTCGACTTTGTATCTAAATCAAGTCATGCATAAAGTTTATTTTGATGATTTGGTCATCTGATAATGTCAGATATTATAACTCTTTTCAGTATTACTAAATTACTTACATGTTTACTGTCTAAGTAGGACTGCTGATGAAATATTCATTAGCATACCTGCATTGAGTCTATAGATATTTCCCAAAGATTACCCTGAAAAATTATTGGTAATCGTTGTCTTACAACCATTCATTTAATAATATATTGAAGTTATAAAGGCACTGAAAAAAGACAAAACCAGTCCTCGAATTTGGACCACAGCAGTGTCCCCATGACATGATCACAAATGGGCAGTTAGCCACCGGCATGTACTTAGGATGATTGTAGTATACTAGAACATTTGCAACCTTCCTAAGGAACAAGCAGAGTTAGTGGGGTAAGCCAGATTCACTTAACAACTGCTAATTCACTTAACAGCTGCAGTTAAATGTTATATTGTACAGTCACATGATGACTCAATAATCACATCACTTAATGATGGAAATTACAGTGCCAACTGTGTTCATAAGTTAAAGACTGTAAGTTCTTAAATTAGTAGCACAATTATTAAGTGAATGGTTGCCGCATTGACTTTGCTTTTCAGAAGGTCACAAAAAGGGGGTCACGTGACTCCAGGACACTGCAACTGTTATAAATATTTAGTTTAGTTCATTATCATTGCACCTCATACAACAAAATTAAATAGCATCTCCAGTGTACATTATGATTATAAAAATAAACAGAAACACACATTCTTCACATTCTAAACATTGAATTGAAAACCCATGATATTGCATTAATGTGAGTCAGTTGTGATTTACATTGTCAATGTAAATGAACTGCCCATGGGGATGCTGCAACAGTCATAAGTGAAAAATAGCAATAGCAATACCACTTAGACCAGCAGTTGGCCACTGGTGGTCCGCAAGAAAATTTTGGTGGTCTGCAGAGAAATGTCACCCCCATGGCAATTAATCCAGGCTGCACAGGAATACAAAGCTGCGTTGCCCACATGCTGCAGGAACCCTCCCTGCCCACTCACTCTACCTGGCAAACTTGCCTGCTACGTTGCTATTTTTCCTTTTTTCCCCCAGACCATCAGGTGTTCTGCTATGCCGTGAGATTTAGATTAGCTAGAAAGCAGGAAATCATTGGATTTCTAGCTTTCTAGCTAATCTTTAGATCTCCTTAGGACTGAAGCTTTTGTTTCTCACTGCTGACTCAGTTAGCCAATGGCAGATGGATAGATATCTGAATGAATCTGTGATTCTGTGAGCAACTCAATCTGCCTGCCTTCTTTGCCTGATTTTGGGTAAAAGTTGCTCTTTTTAATAAAAAAAATCAATATTTACATACATGGTATGTTGTGAGTTGATTTTGTGAGTTTGCTTGCTAGCAAATATGAGTTTGCTTGCAAGCAAATTTTATGTGACAGACTCAGGTAGCTGATTCCAGAAAAATAGATCTCTGAGTGATTCTGTAAGCAATTCAATCTGCCTGCCTGTTTTGCCTGATTTGGGGTAAAAGTTTCTCTTTTTTTAATAATTCAATATTTACATAAATATTTATTTTATTGTATTTATATTATTTACATACAAGGCATACCCAGCCAGTCACATGCCACATCCACAAATTAGGCCATGCCACAGAACCAGTTGTTAAGAAATTTGAATCCCACCCCTACCTCTGTGTTTGTGTGTATGTATTTGAGAGGGGGAAGTGGGGGGGAGAGGGAGAGAGGGAAAGAGAGAGGTTAGATCAGATCTCTCCCCACCTCCCCCACTCTCTCCCACCAACGTCCACAAGCCACCATCAGTCAAAATGCATATTAGTGGTCCCCGGGATTTAAAATTATGAGTTTGGTGGTCC